GTGTTAGCAAAGCAAGAATATGCTGAAAGAATTTCCTCAGTGAGTCTTTTTTGTAACTTTCTGAGTTAATATTAGTAAATATGGTAAAAAAAAAAAAATGACACGTGGAAATCACAAATATCACAACTGATTAGCTTTTGACCAAATTACAGTAGCTGGTAAATTAATATTACTAAGTATTACTAAGAAATTATAATTTGATGTTGAACAAGTGCTATATGGACGCTAAACAACTATATAGCTAAAAATCACATGGTCCTGTGGCATGACACTCATGATACCGTCCACCTTCAACCACAGTGTGTTTGAGTTCATGGTTTTATGGCACTCTCCACCAGTATATTGCCAACAAACCAGATGAGTGGGGCTTTAAATTGTTCATCTGGCATCATCCACGACTTGCTGCTGTGTCAGGAGGATCTACATTCTTCAATGCTCCCCTGAGTGAAAATGAACACAAGCTCCCTTTAAGGGGCCAAAGCTGTAAAAAACACTTTGCAAACCCATAAAAGAACCTCAGCTCTTCACAAGTTTCAGCTTGGTCCAGAACTTGGGTGTCAGGTGCATTGGTACTGTATGACCAAACTGCACCGGTGGAGCTCCCCTGATGGCAGACAAAGACCTGATGAAGAAGGGCCATGGAGCCTGTGATTGCAGGTCTGATGAAGGTCTGATTGCAATGAAATGGTTTGACAAGAAATGTGTCAACCTCCTAAACAAGGCCTGTGGGTTCATGGTTCTTTCATCGGTCAAAAGGTGGAGCAAAGAGTCCAATGCAAAGATCACCGTCCCATGCCCATCACTCATCCCTGTGTATAATTATCATATGGGAGGAATTAAACTTTCTGGTATGCTATTACACCTGTATAAGACAAGTTATAAGTTACAAGTTAAGGAGATGGCATATCCCACTGTTCGGATACATCCTTGACTTGAATACCTGGTCTACAAGAGGGACTGTGCCCTGCTGGACCAGAAACTGATGGCTCTCAAAAGGTTTCCGCCTGGCTGTGTCTGAACCAAGTTAACAAGCCAGCATCTAGAGTTGGACAACCATGATCCAGCTCTGACCACAGAATCAATGCTACACCCTAAGACCCCAAAGACAGAAACCACAAGCAGATGTGATTGATTTGCACTTTTTATTTATTTTTTAAAAACAAAACTGATTTTGCAGAGTAGCATTCAATCAGAAGTGGCCTGAACGTGAGTGTTTTGTGCTGCAGCACATTTTTCACATTTGCAGATGAAAACTATGTATTTTGTTGTTTGATATAATACTTTCCTTGGAAAACAGCAATGTTCACTGGCATGCTACTAGAAATAAACTGTATCCAATGGCCTGGATAGTTTTTGTTATTAATGTAATTATAATTTGGCCCTTTATTTGATTTTTTCAACTGTATTATCTAATGTACTTGTATTTGCATGACATTTCATACTTTTACCATAAAGGGACATCTCAGCCGTTTGGTTGAGATCAATATTTTAAAACTACAGGGTCTAATCAATAAAAATGTATTGATTGTGGTTATTACTCACCCCAATCAATAAGAAATGCAAACAACAAAAGTTTTCCATTGCTTTTTTCTTGGTGAGGACATTAAAGGGTTATTCAGATTAAATCAGTAAAAACTGTTTATGGGAAATGTGATCGTTCTTTCCTGTTGCTTAGTCTGGTATTTCATACAGAACCAGGCCGAACCTGCCATCAGACCCTCTGAACAAGCCTCAGCACCAGACATGCAGCAGGATCAGCATGCAGTGGGTTCTTATCTGCAGCTTGAACACATGAAACTCTCAGCTGACATCAGCAGGTGACCTCACAGAAACAGCTGTTTGCAGCTTGTTGTCCGATGCGTGCCTTTCTATGTGTGTTTTTATTCCTGCACAGCTGGTGTGGAGCGCCCACAATTCTGTAGTGCGTGTACAATGACAGTAAAGGGCTGTTCTATTCTGTTCTAGTCTAGTCTATTCGAATGTCGCCTGAAGCTGATTGGCCAGCAGTAAAAACATGCCACCACCACTGCTGATGGACGTGGGAACGAAGCTGAGCCGGGACCTCAGACCGACTCTGTAATGTTTTTCTCTTTAGCTCAGGGTCATAGGTCACGCTGACTGTTTGTGGTTGTGATTAACTGCACTCGGGCACTCACGCTGCAGTCTGAGGTCCCTCCTTTAAGACCCCCTTGAGGTCCTGGGTGCAAACAAAGCTGATCAAAAACAGTCAGTCTTTCTGGACTTTTTTTAAACACACTGTGCAGATAAATTTTCTTTTCTTTGCAAGACGGAAAACTTGCGTGTTTATTTTTGCTTGCCGAGCCCGTGCATCTATTCAGCTTTTTATTTTATTTTCAGTAAAAGACAGAGGGAGCTGCTCTGGTTTACAGCTGTTTAAAAAGGCTCTTTATGCTCGTTGCATTTATACTCTCCTCAGAAAACTACAAGTGGTGAAGACATAAAGCAATAATGAGCATATCTGGTGATAGATTTTAAACTTTTACTTTAAATTGTGAATGCAGAACTGGTACTCATGCACAGTGTTTCACTTCCTCCCGTGTTCATTACAGGGAGTGCAGAATTATTAGGCAAGTTGTATTTTTGAGGAATAATTTTATTATTGAACAACAACCATGTTCTCAATGAACCCAAAAAACTCATTAATATCAAAGCTGAATGTTTTTGGAAGTAGTTTTTAGTTTGTTTTTAGTTTTAGCTATTTTAGGGGGATATCTGTGTGTGCAGGTGACTATTACTGTGCAGAATTATTAGGCAACTTAACAAAAAACAAATATATACCCATTTCAATTATTTATTTTTACCAGTGAAACCAATATAACATCTCCACATTCACAAATATACATTTCTGACATTCAAAAACAAAACAAAAACAAATCAGCGACCAATATAGCCACCTTTCTTTGCAAGGACACTCAAAAGCCTGCCATCCATGGATTCTGTCAGTGTTTTGATCTGTTCACCATCAACATTGCGTGCAGCAGCAACCACAGCCTCCCAGACACTGTTCAGAGAGGTGTACTGTTTTCCCTCCTTGTAAATCTCACATTTGATGATGGACCACAGGTTCTCAATGGGGTTCAGATCAGGTGAACAAGGAGGCCATGTCATTAGTTTTTCTTCTTTTATACCCTTTCTTGCCAGCCACGCTGTGGAGTACTTGGACGCGTGTGATGGAGCATTGTCCTGCATGAAAATCATGTTTTTCTTGAAGGATGCAGACTTCTTCCTGTACCACTGCTTGAAGAAGGTGTCTTCCAGAAACTGGCAGTAGGACTGGGAGTTGAGCTTGACTCCATCCTCAACCCGAAAAGGCCCCACAAGCTCATCTTTGATGATACCAGCCCAAACCAGTACTCCACCTCCACCTTGCTGGCGTCTGAGTCGGACTGGAGCTCTCTGCCCTTTACCAATCCAGCCAGGGCCCATCCATCTGGCCCATCAAGACTCACTCTCATTTCATCAGTCCATAAAACCTTAGAAAAACCAGTCTTGAGATATTTCTTGGCCCAGTCTTGACGTTTCAGCTTGTGTGTCTTGTTCAGTGGTGGTCGTCTTTCAGCCTTTCTTACCTTGGCCATGTCTCTGAGTATTGCACACCTTGTGCTTTTGGGCACTCCAGTGATGTTGCAGCTCTGAAATATGGCCAAACTGGTGGCAAGTGGCATCTTGGCAGCTGCACGCTTGACTTTTCTCAGTTCATGGGCAGTTATTTTGCGCCTTGGTTTTTCCACACGCTTCTTGCGACCCTGTTGACTATTTTGAATGAAACGCTTGATTGTTCGATGATCACGCTTCAGAAGCTTTGCAATTTTGAGACTGCTGCATCCCTCTGCAAGATATCTCACTATTTTTGACTTTTCTGAGCCTGTCAAGTCCTTCTTTTGACCCATTTTGCCAAAGGAAAGGACGTTGCCTAATAATTATGCACACCTGATATAGGGTGTTGATGTCATTAGACCACACCCCTTCTCATTACAGAGATGCACATCACCTAATATGCTTAATTGGTAGTAGGCTTTCGAGCCTATACAGCTTGGAGTAAGACAACATGCATGAAGAGGATGATGTGGACAAAATACTCATTTGCCTAATATTCTGCACTCCCTGTATGAAATGAAACCTGCTCCAGAGGCCTGACAGAGACCTCTCCCACCGTCTCAGCTCCACACGCTGAAAACACTCAGAAGTTATTGATAACTCACAAATCACAAAAAACAGAAAGCTGAAAAATAAAGAAATGCACAAAGAAACGAGTGAGTAAATACAAAAATATGCAAGAACAGGTTAAAAAAATAAATGTATGGGAAAAACTAATTTTAAAAGATGTGACATAAACTAAAAACAAAATTAAAATCGAAAACATGATGGAAAATAGAAATGAAGTGAAAATAAAACTCAAAATAAAATTAAATCATCTTTACTTACAAAAGTGGAATCAATTATTTATCATTTAGTCATTAAAGTCGGTTTTTCTTTTTGTGGTTTATTAAATTCTTTATTTTACTTGATTGTATTATGCTCAGCTGTTATTACATTTAGAAAAATGTAAACACATTTAAACTGTGTTAATTATGTTTAACGGGGCGACCGTGGCTCAGGGGGTTGGGAACGCTATCTGTAACCGGAAGGTCGCCGGTTCGATCCCTGGGCTCTCTGTCCTGGTCGTTGTGTCCTTGGGCAAGACACTTTACCCTACTTGCCTACTGGTGTTGGCCAGAGGGGCCGATGGCGCGATATGGCAGCCTCGCTTCTGTCAGTCTGCCCCAGGGCAGCTGTGGCTACAACTGTAGTGCCTCCACCAGTGTGTGAATGTGAGAGTGAATGAATAGTGGTATTGTAAAGCGCTTTGGGTGCCTTGAAAAGCGCTATATCAATCCACTCCATTATTATTAATGTTGAGCTCTTTTGTAAACTCCTTTGTGTCATTTCCATCCTGATTTATTATGTTGTTGTGTTCTTTTACAGGTTGTGTTTGAGCGACACTCCTGTGAGACTTTCCAGCTTTGTGATGAATAAAGAACATCTTATACAGTGACATCACATCCTGTCATTGTGTGTGTCTGACGGTGGTGAAACTGCAGTGACCTGTTTACTGTGATGACACTTCGCAGCACTGTCTCTCCTCAGTCCTGCAGAACGACTTTATTCCTGGCCAACATGAAGCTGCTGCCTCTCATCTGCCTCAGCGTCTCCGGTAAGTGTTTCTTTTTTACCGCTGCCGTCTTTCACACCCTGCAATAATCTATATAATCAATAATCATTTCCTGTAATGATTAGCTGCTTTAATATTCAGATCAAAGGCTGAGCCACATAAAATCATTTTACAAAATCTCAGTTTTTTAAAAATAAAGTTCCATTAAAAACATTTGTATGAGTTTTTTCTGATGAAAGTTTTTCTCTTTGGGGAAACTGGTGAAAGCCTAAACCTGACCACAGCTGGGCAAAAACATCTGGGGTCTGACAAAAACATCATTTTTACTTTATATGATACTGTCATCCTGTCCCACATTACCGTCTTTGACCATTTGTCTTGTTTTGCTTATGATGTGACTTATTTTATCTTTTAACTCGTTGTATGTACAACTCAGGCTCTTAATGAATATCATATTCTAGCCTATTTAAATGTTTAACTCAGCGCTGCTGGCACGGACGCTTTTTACATTATCCACAGAGATGCATTAGTATCGATCAGCACTGGCAGAGCTCACAGGACTCGTTGGGAACAAAACTTCACAAGCTCGACGAGTCTTCTTTCCATTTTCAAAAGCAGAAGCAGCCCAACTAATCAAAGTTGAGTTAACTTCAATAATTACTTCCTCCAAACCATCAACGTGTCTTTTAGACCCCATTCCTACAAAACTGCTCAAAGAAGTCCTGCCATTAATTAATCTTCGATCTTAAATATGATCAACCTATCTCTAATGATCGGCTATGTACCACAGGCCTTCAAGCTGGCTGTAGTTAAACCTTTACTCAAAAAGCATCTCTAGACCCAGCAGTCTTAGCTAATTATAGGCCAATCTCCAACCTTCCTTTATATCAAACATCCTTGAAAGAGTAGTTGTCAAACAGCTAACAGATCATCTGCAGAGGCTTTATTTGAAGAGTTTCAGTCAGGTTTCAGAGCTCAGCACAGAAACAGCTTTAGTGAAGGTTACAAATGATCTTCTTATGGCCTCTGACAGTGGACTCATCTCTGTGCTTGTCCTGCTAGACCTCAGTGCAGCGTTCGATACTGTCGACCATAATATCCTATTAGAGCGATTAGAACATGCTGTAGGTATTACAGGTACTGCACTGCAGTGGTTTGTATCATATCTATCTAATAGACTCCAGTTTGTGCATGTAAATAGAATAGAATAGAATAGAATAGAATAGAATAGAATAGAATAGAATAGAACAGAATAATCCTTTAACTGAATTTGGGAATTCGGTTGTAACAGCAGCAGAATAAAAGCACATTTACAAACAGAACAGAAACAATTTTTATAGAAAAAAATATTTGATTTACATGAGAAGCTAACATGGACAATTGTTACAAAAACAGAGTACTGTACTCGCTCACCATCACAATCGTTACACAAGTTTTTAAAGTATAAAACAAATATTATTACTTTAGTCCAGATAAACGGAAAAAGAAGAAACCTGCTTTGAGGCCTTTGCATTTGCAGCTGAGTGAATCTGAGCAGTGATGAAATCTCTGTACTTACAGTCACCGCTGGAATACACCTGGTTCAGTCTCCTCCTCGTGTGACTGTGATGTCAGGGTCAAAGGTCAGCCTCAAATGTAACATCACTGGGACTGGTGAAACACATGGCTGCTCTCGAGTGACATGGCTCCATATCAGGCAGGTGAGCGGTCTCAGTGCCACTCCTTGGTTTAATTCTCGAGTTCAGAGCAGGCTCTGTCTGCTGGAAGTCCCCAGAGCCACCCAGCAGGACGCCGGCATGTACTTCTGTGTCTACATCGATGGGGTCATGCCAGTGCTGGGCAGCGGGACAACGGTGACGGTCACAGGTGAGTGGTGGTCTCTTTATAACACTTCCTGACTCACAAGTCAAACAGATATTTGCCTTGACCCACTGGGTTTTGGTTCTTCTTTTTATTATCCTAATAACAATAAATCTGTTACAAATTTTTTATATATTTAAACAATTTTAGCTTTTTAGGAACCAAGGAAACAGCTCAGTGATAAAGTGATAATAGTTGAATAAGAAGGCAGCAGCAGAGCGCAATACTGAAAAATTCTTAGTTATTACCACTCTATTACTAAAGTAATAACCGGTAAATACACACATAATGTCATGGTAACAACAGCTGTTACAGCCGAGTGATGACACTCTTAAAGTTGTATAATTGGACAATAAGGGCCTGAAACCTGTGGTAACAATGGTTATCACGTTGTTACCACGGTAACATGGTTATTCAGCTCTAACCTCCAAGCATCCAAACATGCAGCCGCTCCTGCAGCAAGTAGCACTGAGCCAAGGAGGATATGTAAAGGTGTCAGTGGTGTGTGACATTTTTAAATACGATGAAGGAATACAAGACAGTCAAAAGGAGTTTCATAGAGCTACGTGCACGGGTGAGTGATCGGGTGATACTCACAACCGAGGCATTGCAGTCAGATTTATTTATACCAAGAGACAGTTGCATAGCATTTCCTGTTTTTCAAGCTTACTTATCAGCATGTGTGTGTGTTCTGTGTGTGTGTGTTGTGTGTTGTGTGTGTGTGTGTGTGTGTGTACGTGACAGGATGTAATGGCATGTGATACAAAAATATATGAACATTTTAATACATTTGAAAGCTTTATAACGGAGGTATCTTTTAATAATAGACATCTGCAGTTTAAACTTAAAAGTTACTTCTATCAAAAGGTCAATGAGTGTGTGCGGCTGATCAGTTAGTTCATTTTTTTATTGATACCCAGACAGGTTGATCCGTTAAATGTTTATCATCTGCAAACAGAATGTGACATAAGAAAGCCGCATTTAAGCCGAGTGTAAATGTAAATTCAGAACAGGAACTAAGAGTTTTATGTGTGTAAGATCAGAACAACATAAAGCTGGCTCAGCGGTTCTTTTCATATATTAGAGAAACAGCTCTTTACTGCGTTGCTACCTCGTACTTAGAAACTTTCTTTATTAAAAAAACAAAAAACAAAACTGTGAAATTTTTTTACCTTTCATGTTCTCAGTTATCTGTACGGCTGTTACTTTGTTGCTTGTACACAACCAACAAAACGTGACAAGGCAGATTTATTGAAAGGCTTTGATGTAAAGTCAGCAGAAACATAAAATAGGATATTTTCACCTTGATATCAGCCCGCTGGTTTGAACTCGGCCGCTCACACCAAGATGTTTTTGGAGGCCAAAACACCAAAAACGTGGGAGTCGTGTGAAATTATCGGCTCATGCTTGTATACAAGCTTGTAAGGCTGCATCACACAAACACAGATATCTGCTAGTTAGTGCTAAGTCAAACCCAAATAACACTGCGTTCACTAAAACTGGAGCACAGAGGCTTCTTGGATGGTCTATTAGTACAATTAACTGCACAGTAAACTGTATTATTTATCAGAAATTTGCAAAAGGCACCAACAGCACACACAGTGTAAATGCCATATTTGGGGGTTTCTATAAGCAGAGACAAGAAGGGACTGAGGCGCATTAAAGTGGCCACAAAAGAGCTTTTTCAGGCAGAAGACAATCTTTGTAAAGCCAGACATGCGAGTGTGGTGACTGACTCACCTTGGTGGTAACTGGCTATGCAGTTAAAAAGAGAACCTAAATGCAGATAAAGCACGAATGACAACAACAAAATCATACGTTTCATGATGCTTACTGTGGATTTAAAGGTGCCGTTAAAAACACCAGACTAAATCCAGGACGTTCAAATAAGTTCAGTGAGGGTCTGAGGAAGAATCGAGCTCAGGGAAGCAACACACCGAGGGGCGACCGACAAGGAAACACAGGTGGGAACAATTAGAGTGGGTCAGACGAAAGGTGGCAGAGATAATGAACCAAAGCAATGTGCACGATAATATGAATCCTTTCAGAATAAAACAGGAAATGAAGAAAAAAATGTGATTTTTCCAGTGCCAATCGGCACAGAAAAAAATGATAACAAGAAAACATCTTTAAAATCGCAAAAAGACATGGAGAGGCTGCGATGATGATGCAGGGTCAGTTTTCTTTGAAATCATGACCATTAAGTTTCTCACCCTGTCCTCAGAATCAGAGCTCCACAGTCCTGCACTTGATCTCTTGGCTCCTTTACACGTCAGCTCGCCCCTCCCCGTCCCGTTGATCTGCCTGGCGTCCGGGCTGAACGACACCGGTCGGGTCAAAGTCGACTGGGAGGTGGACTCTGAGGAGGATGTGCTTAAGGAACTCAGTCCCACAATCCTCCCTGACACCAGGGCGGGAGTCTTCAGCTCGCAGGTTTATGTTCCTGCAGAAACCTGGTCTGCAGGTGTGAACGTGTCCTGTGTGCTGAGTGATGGAGAGCTGAGGATCAGGAAGACCATCAGCAGCAGGACAGATGAGGTCAAACGTAAGTCATTGTCTTTGGAACTCACACCAACACAGTCTGAAGGCTTTTAGTGCTTCATTTATATTCCGGAAAAAACAAAAGGCAGCAGACACACAGCTCAAGTCTCAGTTATCTGGAAGTAACAATTATAATTAAATCAATCTGCAACATGTTTCAATCAGCAAGTTGTTCCGTGGTTGTGGTTCCAAGGTGTGTTTGTGTTAAACGCATACACCTCAGTATTGTAGCAACAATGTCATTATTATAAAAAGCCAGTTTATCTAGAGTTTAGGTTGGGATAATATTCACCCCCATGCACGTCTGCTTGGTTTGAGCACCAGTATGAAAATATCTCACACTTTAGTTTCTGCTTATTTAGCATGTGGCCAAAACAAAACCAACCCGCACTCTTGCTTCTAACCACACCTGTGACCTCTTTGATGCTAACCAGTCACCGTTTGTTTTTTAACTTGCTGAACTTTTAAAAATCCCTGCTCGCGCTTCCTGTTTCTATTTTTTTCATGTGTGTGTGAAAGCGTGTGCAGGACAAGCCAGCAAGTGTAAAGTTGTAAAGGTCAATAATGAAAGTCGAAAGACATCTGGAAACGTAGAGATTATTCTCTGACAACAGTGTGTGTTGATGTCATCTGTAAACAAAATGTGACGTGAAAGTTGCATTTAAGCAGACTGCAAATGTAAATATTAGTGCTGTCAATAGAAGAAAAAAAACAACGAATTAATCTCACAATTTTCTGTAATTAATCGCGATTAATCGCAATTACTTGATCAATAGCCTGGCTGCAATTACATTTTTTCAACTTTATATTTAAGCTTGTAACTGACATTTAGGCAATATAAGAGAGCGCAGCTTCTCTCCTGTGAAATGCAACTATTTAAAAAACCTATGTACTAATAGGTAAGTATACACTAATATATAATATATATTAGTGCAGTCAAACTCTTAACATGTTTAATCAGACTCATCACAGGGTTACTGTGGATTAATTTTGATTAATCGCGGTTAAATATAATTTTTATTCTATATTAATCGCATTTCATTTTGCGTGAGCAAACAGACTCGAGAAAAAAGGGAAAATATACGAACTTAACGTGTTCATTGAACATCTTGAACATTCATGTTAACGATAAACTCTGTAAACATGTATCCTCTCTCTCTGTCACTCTTGGGGAGGCTTCAAGTCCTTGAAACGAGGAACCAAAGCTTGTAAAGCGCCTGTTCTCAGCGATATGAACACGTCTGCAGTTTGTTGCAATCCACTTGGCGTCAGTCAATATGTCCGAGGTCGACTTACTGAGCCCCGATGCTCCGTGAGTGGTTTGTCCAAGCTGGGTGACGCGTTAGCCAAAGTGCTAGCAGCAACCCCGACTAACGCATGCTTCGAGTCAATGTGATATTTTAAGCTGGAAGCGCTGGGGCGAAATTTCCTTCTTGCACAACGTGCATAAGACTTTATGTGGGTCGACTGTTCCGTCATGTTATTTTTTTAATACTCAAATTTCCCATCGAGAGGGCCGATGTGTGTTTATCATCTTCCATACTGAGCAGTGTTGCCAACTTAGCAATATTTAGCGAGTTTTCAGGCCCCTTAACGACTTTTTTTCTAAAAAGCGACTAGCGACAAATCTGGCGACTTTTTCTGGTGTTATTGGAGACTTATTTATGACGACTTTTTGACGTGAAAGAGCGTGTTGCTCTTACTCTCACCAAGCAGCGGTGCTGCCGTGGGCACCTCACCCGTGCCAAAGCGCTCACGGGCGGAGGATAGTCCTCCCCCAGCTGCAGGAGACGTTCACACCTGTGCGTCCAAACTGCAAATGAATCGCGCATGAGCGAAGCCGCTGCTCCCGCACTGACTGTAACGCAGTCAGTTCTTCTTTTACTGTTATCTGTTTTCTTACTGAGAGTTAACACTGATATGATTTGATTGGCTCAGCTGCTGTCACTACCAGATCAACTGCCCATTTGCACATGTGCGAAGGTAACTCTACTTGGACAAACTGCCCGAAATGCGTTGACGGAAACATTTCAGGGATTTTGAGTCATTCTGCGCCCCAGATACGTTAATTGCGTTAAAAAAATTTAATCTCGTTGACCATGATGGCGGATTAATTTGCATTAAGGCATTAATTTTGACAGCACTAGTAAATTCCAAACAGGAACGAATTTGAGGAAGTCCAGAGTGAAACGGGGACGTGAAACGCTCCAATATAAAGGCTAATACACACCATCAAGCCCTGCTCTCAAAAACGGACATAGATGTAACGCTGTCTGTGAAGCTGGATTTAAGAAATAAGCGCTTAAAGTTTGGCACCATCTTCTGTCAGTACGGAGCATGACGTCATGTGGTTGGTTGGTTGCGGCTAACAGACCTACATTTGTTTGTTAGCTCACTAGGGAGAGAATCGATGACTCAGAGGACAATAACGACACGAAAACTAAAAGTTTGTAAGAGGGGATCACATTTGTGCAGCAACAATGAGCTTTATGTTAAGAAACAAGGATATTTTGTCCACTTACACTCTCTCGCTCTTTAGCAGTACTTGGCTGTTTGGCTAGCTGCAGTCAAATGGGAAAATCCAGCTGTTAGCCACAATGTTCGGGTTTGTTATGGTATCATTTGTCTTCTAAACTTGCTGAACTTTTAAAAATCCCTGCTCAAACTTCCTGTTTCTATTTGTTTTTTTCGTGTGTGTGAAAGCATCCAGTCAGTGTGTGTTTCTGACCTCCATCATTGGCACTGCATGTGCCGCCTTTTTTACCTCCACCGTGGCACTCTGCGCCCTGCTGTGGCGCCGACACAGTGAGTACGGCGTTTTTATGTTTTATGTATTTGCCGTCTTTTACTCATCTGAAGAATTTTGGTTTGAATCGCACAATTTGTGAGATATCAGCTGTAGCTGAGCAAACACATTAGCGAGCTTCACACTCCTGTTTGTTGGTGAACATATTCAAAAAGGTTTTCTAAGTAGAAATTAACAGTAGCTAATGTTTCCTGAGGTCTGTACCAGGATTTCACGAGGGCTAACCCTCGGTGTTCTGCACCATGAAGGGGGTCAACCTTTCACTGCTGACTGTCACCATGGTAACTTATGCTGCTACTTGTTGATATAGATTAGAGATTAACAAGTATGAAAGGAGCGCCATTATATGCTTTCTATACGAGAAGAAGCACACTACAGCTGATATCTTCAAAACTCACTTCAAAACAAACTTGTTGGATGAGTACACCGCCTTCCAAATCATTATGCAAATTGTATTTTAGTGTCATAAAGATTAAATTTGTTGTTTTTCAATTAAACTCATGGTGGCATTGTGTCTCAGGGCTCTTTGGATCATCAATCTCGGACACCTGGTATAATTAGTTTTCCAGGTGAGCCCAATTAAAGGAAAAACAAATAAATAAGGATGTTCCACATTATTAAGCAGACCAGCATTTTCAAGCAATATGACAAAGAAAAAGGATCTCTGCTGCTGAAAAGCCTGAAATAGTTGAATGCCTTGGACACGCAATGAAAGCCTTAGATATTTCACGAAAACTTACAGTGTCAATACTTTGTAGAGCCAGCTTTTGCTGCAGTTCCAGCTGCCAGTCTTTTAGGGTCTGTCTCTACCAGCTTTGCACATCTACAGACTGAAATCTTTGCCCATTCTTCTTTGCAGAACAGCTCCAGCTCAGTCAGATTCGATGCGCAGCAGTTTTCAGATCAACTCTGTTGCATTTTAAGTTTGTTATTTTGGAAAAACACGCTGTTTTCATTGGGAGGTTTGTTTAGTAAAATTCAAATTATAATCTAAAGGTTGATGACTCGAAGATTATGCTGACTGTCACTTGCATTGACTGTTTAGGAAAATCAGAGAAAAATATCATTTGCGTAATAACTGGAACGCGGTGTAAGTCCACAACTCCAGAAGAAAATGTTTGAAATGTTTTTTTGTAACGAGCAAAAAAAATCCAACACCCTAAAAACCTTGAATCGTGAGTTTTTGTGTTCGTGAAAAAATAATAACACATTTGATATTTTCAGAAAATGTGTAAAACTCCATGTTAAATATATATTTTTAAATTTTTTTACAGAAAAAACGCCAAAGATCAGTGACGAGGTAACAGAGTTTACACTGTGTTGTTGTTTTGCTATTTCTGGGTGTGACCACAGGGAGGGGGCGTGTCCTTACTGGATTTGTGGACATTAAATATTTACCCCGAAAAACCAAAGAATAAATGACAAATCTGTGTAACCGTTCCCTGCTGATTTTACAAACTTCTACTTAATGCTTAGTTACTTCTCACGAAAAGGAATAAAATGAAGAAGAGGCTCCTGCTAATAAGTGTATAAAACATCATTTAAATGTAGACTCGCCTGTCGCGTCACTAAATACAGACTCTGATTGCTTTTGACCTGATGATGTGTCCACAGACGTCTCCGGAGCTTCATTATGCTGCTCTGAGGTTTTCAGCTTCAGGTGGAAGAAACATCAGATGACTGAAGCTGCTGCGATTCGTCGAACACAGTTTTCACCGAGCCGAGGACGCAAAGAAATGCCAACAAATCTGATTGGCTGAAGATAGATAGATAGATAGATAGATAGATAGATAGATAGATAGATAGATAGATAGATAGATAGATAGATAGATAGATAGATATTGTATCGATCTGACTTTCTCTCTTTGCCAATTTTATCTGAATTTTTCCAATTAAAAAAATGTCAAACTCTTCCATTTAAAATATGCAGATACTTAAAGAAAGCTGTTTGATGCAGTGACCACAGACAGAAGCTACGGAAGCAGAACCGTGTAATGTTTCTAACATGATGCCGACATTTTTAGTAAATCACTTTATTATGATTCTGAACTTTACAGCTGTAGATGTTCATATTACATAAAGTTCTTTTTACAGTGGAGCCAATTTGACTCATGTATTTGATTTAAAAAGTCAAATTTTACCTGTTTTTTAATCATAAATGTATTCATATAACTTTATTATTCTTTTACTCATTGTGTCAGAGTTTGAAATTTCTCAAATGTGTAGTTATATCTGCTGATTGTCTCTTGCTTGCACCTGTCTGTATAAATGGTTTCCTCTAAAGATTCTGTACGGCTTCAGTTCTCTGGTATTTACTCTCAGGCGAATAATAAGATCTGATGTCCTGTCTCCACTTCACGCTTTTTTTTTTTAGATAGTTTTAGGGCATGAACTGCAACGTAGGTTTGAGGTTAACCAGTGAGATGTTTCCTGTGTGTCTGTGGAAGAGAAAAGGGGTCAGAGAGGCAAACCGAAGTGTTTGAGCTGCAGACTAAAGACCGACCTGTTTCTGTTCACTCAGCTGTTTTCTGTTTGCTGCAGTGGAAAATTATTTGTGCGCATTTGAATTTTGGGTTTCCGTTGCATTGATCAGTGTCTGTCACATCATTTTACAAGCTTCAGCTCCTGATACAGCAGTATGTGCAGTAAAAACCTGAATGCAAATATTTGCAGTATGAAAGAAAAGAGTTGATATATGTCCACGAGGACATAACATTAACTGTTCAAAAGTCACTGTGCCATGTGCCACCAAGGAACCGCAAGAGGCGACAAACTTTAAACTAAAGCAGTGGAAATGTACAAAGTTTGCAACATCAGTATGAGGGACCTGCCTGAGGACGCCCCGTCTTGTTCCCATTGCAAGTGGTGTGCATGATTCTGACCTTGTGCTTGACCTTGTGGCATCTTCCGTGAGAGTGAGTTGGTGGTGCTGGTATCTGTGTGCGCAGCAGAGACTCTGATTCGGGAAACATTTGCACAACAACTCCAACTGCCCCGTGAATCAGCGCTGCTCGCCACTAATCCGCTCACATCATTTCCGAGTTTTATGCCCCAGGGGAGAAAGTTACCATCACCACCTGTTTCTTCACTGCCATTTACAAAACAGCGAGCAGCTGCAAAAATAATAGTAGTAGTAATAACTAAAATATGCCGTTTCTAGTGCATTTGTGGTGGGACTGGTGAAACTTTCCTTTTTGCTAAAGCATATAGTTAGGGCTGGACCAGGTGACCCTGAATCCTCCCTTAGTTATGCTGCAATAGACGTAGGCTGCCGGGGATTCCCATGATGCATTGAGTTTTTCCTTTCCAGTCACCTTTCTCACTCACTATGTGTTAA